ATTTTTATTTTATTTATAAAACAAATTAAGGTTGTATCGAATTATTTTTTCAATTCAGTTATTAGACTTATTCTATTTTCTACATTTATATCTATCTAAAAATTAGAAAAAAACAGTTTATTCAAAATAATTAGATTATTTAGTTCAAATATTCCATCTTTATTAAATGACCGAATTCGCCAGTTATTTACTCCAATATTGCTTTTGTTAGTAATTATCTATTAATATTATACAGGCCGTCCAGTTCAGTGTTCAAGTGGTAAAACTAGAATAGTTAAGTGGAGTCCGATCATTACACAGATGATAGGCTCAACCGTAGTGATACCTTGCGTAGTAGCAGATAGTGCACCGTACAGACAATATTGGAAGGATAATTTTGGTAACATAATAGATACTGACATCGATTCAAGACGCAAAGTAAATAATTCCCTTAAATTGTTTTTTAGCACATTAGACTAATTACGATGTTGTTATATTTATTTTACAGCTGGGTCCTGAAGGAGAGCTAGTTTTGAACAATTTAAGCTGGTCAGACATGGGTGAATATACTTGCATTGTGGAAAATTCTATAAGCCGAGATAACACATCTACGTTCCTGTATCCAATGCTACCTAATGTTTAGAATATTTACATGTAGATAAAAAGCATAGAAAATGATCTATAATCTCTAAACTCAATTTGTTCTTAATGTTCAAATATTATAGTATTATAATCTAAAATGATTTATTCAATTATATAACATGAAATAGACGCTTATTATAGGAACATTGATAGCTAGCTAATAGTAAAATGACATTAAGTTACGTCGATTAGTCGAAACGTATAGCTTTAATAGTCGAATGCTTACACTATGTATCGTAAACCATTGAGTATTTATCGTTTATTTTGTTATTTTTAAGTACATTGCTTGCCCCTGCTATGAGTCTCGTATTGTTTTATGGTTTGTGCAATAAATTTAGAGAGAGTGTTAGAAAACTCAAATTTAAGTATTTTATTGTTTTTTTTTTTTTTTTTTTTTTTTATTATTATTTATTTATGCGTATGAATTATATATCTATGTTTAAGTTCAATAATAAAGTTCGAAAATATTAATTAAAAATTGTTTTCTGATTTTCTGAAACGGGTCTGTGCATCTAGCTAACAATCAATATACCTACAATGAATATATGCAATTTAAAGTAGATTTACCTATGTCAACAATTTCTAGATATGATATCTAACGTGATACCAAGAATTATATCGTAATAAGGAAAATATAACTAAATAGTCAACACTCAACTCATTTTTTAAGGAATAAATTGTGAATATATGCGTGAATCTGACTACAAGGCTATAAGCTTTTCAGTATAATGTGTAATTTAATATAATTTAATACAAACAATTAAATTGTGCAATTATAATAAATTTATACACTGTTATTTATTAGCAGGAACCTATTATAACAATGTGTATATAAAAAGTGATTCGATTAACGTTTTTCGGATTGTTTTCTAGAAACCTAACCTCGATGTTAAACAAAGACTTATTGAGTATAGAATGTATTATGTAAATAGAAGTATAGAAATTTATCACTCTCGAATACTTTATAAGTGAAAAACGATTTCAAATGTTAGAAAAAGTCTTTTGTACTTTATATTAAATAATTATAGTTGAGCTATATTCAAAATTGTTGTGATTTTTTATTGATTTAAAATTTATAAATCATAATAACGGACATTGTGGAGCTATTATTTACTTCGCTAACACCGGTCAAGTGGAAACCGGAAAATTATGACCACGCGGCGTTATAGTTAGGCTATTTCACTACACCATCGCTTTTAGCTTTTATATTATATTTCGTTGTATCATAAGTAAATAGTAAATAATCAAAGTCAATTTTTAAAATTAATATACATGAATATAATAACTAAACACATTTTTAGATAAATCAAAGTGAAGTAAAATAATAATTTAATCAAAAACTTATTGATAAATTATTCTGAGTTATGACCTAAGCGACTAAACAATAATTATAGCCTTTAAGTACAACAGTTCATCATTAATTTTTTTTTTATAATTGTTGTTTACAAGGTTATAAATCTTTATAAGTAATAACGTTAAATCTATTTTTGCTACCTTTCTACTGATGTCTCCGTCCACAATTGCTGTGACGTACCTAACTTACTCACTTTTTTTCTTGTTGCCAATTGCCAAACTTTTTTCTATAATGTAGATATTTTATTCAAACCAAACAACGATTAGATCTACTTAATTTATAAGAAGTTCTGAATAGTATGTATGTTTTACCACACAAAGTTACATATTTGTAAGCATTTTATGATGTTTTATGTCTATTTTTCTAACTAAGAATACAATTATTAATTGAACTTGATCAATATTCACTAATTTGAGTAATTTTTTTATAATATTATTTAAACTATCCGAACACAAATTTGAAATGATTTTTGTTACACGTTTAACAAGACTTCAAGTGACGATAATCGGCAATTATGTAGAACAACTAAATCTTCATCTAAAATGAAAATTAATAAATCGTAATAACATTTAAACTTGTTGACAATTGACATTATGAATGATAATATGCGCTAACATCACAAAACGAGAGCAATATTTCGTTAGATCGCTTCATAGGTTTTAGAGTAAAAAATTGAAAATAAATTTCAATTACGATGATCTAATAAGCGTGTTTAAATCACCTAATAACGCATAGTTTCCTATAAAATCCTGAATTTTTAAATACTCGGCGTTAAGTATACGCGCATTCCATAACATGACCAATATCGTAGATATTTATTTTCAGACTTCTTTTTCTGGATTCTCATTGATTACCATTCTTGTATTTCGGACCCCTGCTGCCTGCATTCCGAAAACCGTCCACTACATTATTCTACTACCTTTCACTGAAAAATGTTATATCCGTTAGTCGTTGGAGGCATCCCAAGACGACTATCTTTTATAGGAGAAGGATATGAATTTGTGTTAATTCAATAATCATAAATAAAAACATTTTTAAATTTATAATGAAATAAATGTTTTTTACAGAGTGTAAATATTTATATTTAATATTGTAGTGATATATAAAATATACTTTTAAACAGTTTTAGCTCAAAAAAATATGAAAGTATAATTAAAAATGTTATACCTAGGAAAAATAGGTAAATACCTACAATTAGTTGTAATTGTTTGAACTTTGAACACAAGCATCACTAAGTACTTAATGTTTTTAATAAAAAATTAATAGAACAATATTTACCTAAATAAAAACCAGTAAAACTTTAATGACATTTTAGGAGAAATTAAGTAATTTTCAAAGTTTTTCATTTTAAAACAAAAGTGTATTTATTAAATTATATTAATTTTATACACAAATTAAAATGTTTATAAATAGCACAAAATTATATTTTGTCTAGTCTATTTAATGCTAATATGCATATTTGATAAATATTTAAGTTTCTAAGGTTATTTATTTTTAAATAACAAAAAAAGGTTTAATCGAAAACATGGTTTTGCGAGAAAATTCTCATTTATCCCTATTTTGTTTATTTCCCCGGCTTATCTTAAAAATTACTGAGAATTTTTAATTTTTTACTACTTGAAAGTACTAACTAGATTCAATTTTTAACCAAGCACCCTCATTGTTGTAAATCAAAGCATTTTTTCTACTAAAAACTTTAAGCAAACAAACAAAAAACATCAAAATCCGATGAAATAACATTTTTAATGACCATCAGGTACATTTTACTTTTATATATTTATAAATAAATATGGGCCATGGGGGATCTCTTCAATCTATGTTTCCTGTGGAAACTAACATTATATCTAGAAATTATTCTTCTATTATTTGTGTTATAACGTAAAAAATTAAGAAAATAAAATATAAATATAGAAAGGAAGTTTAAAAGATAGTTATTACCTTCCTCCTGATCTTAAGAGGGTTCTCGAGGTCATGTCTCGAAAAATTAATCAAGTACACCGTTACGTAAATTTAGTATAAAAAAAAACTGTAGTAGTAATAAGTATTTTAGTCATGCACCTTACCAGATTTGCCGCAGTGAATGTCTGTTGTATGTTCTTTAGGAAGAGGTAAAATAACACTGATTGGGGAAAAACTTAAGAAAAACTTAAATTTGAATAAGAAAAAACAACAATGGTTTAACTTATGAAAAAGGAAGAAGTCCAGTTGTCGCTTGCAGAATCTTGTGTGATGGTATTGTGAAGAGCTCTTGCTCGAGAGGTAGATGCGCTTGCACTTGACAGTTTGGATGGTGCTCATGCATTGATGAGCGAAGGCGACCTGGTCAAGCCGACCAAGGACCCTCATTGGGCCATCCCTTATCCTTTGCAGTACACGAAATAGATCACACGTGTTGCGTCAATTGTCACAACTACGTGTGAGTTCCTACGTGACCAAATAATATAAATTGTTCCTTTCATCAGTGATTAATTGTGTTTATAAGGTTTTTAACATGTATCTGCGTGCGACAACTTGACCGTTATTTATTTTATTGAATAGTTACTTAAGTATAAGCAATATCTATTACAATCATGATATGTGAGCATATCATTACATTAGTATTAACTATTATTTTAACGGATTATCTAAAAGAAAAATTATTTTGGAAATGAAAACTACTGAATACTATAAACATTTAAACAATAAAAAAAGGTAATACGAGTATAACTTGCAGTTGTAAATACAGTCGAAACACACGAAACGATATTTCTCAAGTAATTTTTTATTATTATAAATTTTTTATATTGATGAACGCAATTATTTGAATATTTGATACCTATTATTTATTACTCCATTCATCCATTGAGTACTGATTTCACATGGAAAGACCGATTCCTGAATTTTTTTGATAACAGCTGTGATAACTATTCTATACTTGTATTCATAATGCGGTATGTTCCATTGATGGTTGACTTTTGAACGATTTTGTACGTTATCGTTATTCGTTATAAAATATAAATTTTAATTAAAACTTACATATTATTTAAGTAATAAGTATCAAGTAAAAACTTTTTTTCCGAAGTTCCGAAATACTCATGTTGTACCTAACTATGTTTAGTCTAAAATTGTGAACATGATTTGTTTTTGTTACTTAGTACTGTACAATATGTTTTTAAATAGTATAAACTTTGTTAATAATATATTAGTATAAATAGGTTGTATGATATTTAAATTTTCATTTATATTATAATGGATTTGAGATCTCCTGTTCTCAACTCTGATAATGAGGTAATGTACCTAATGTGTGCTTAGATTTGATTTTAAAATTAAAATAAACTGTAGAACAAACAATTTTATAATTATTTTTAAATATTACTTGTTGTTTTAGCATTAAATAATTTTTTTTTTTTTTTAGTCCATTTCAGATGTATTGGAATTGGATACAGACTATGATTTTGACAAGATTGAAGAAGAGCCAACTACTACAACTATTAATCATAAAATGGGATCGGTTTGGAGAGATATTGTTGTCGGAGACCAGATGGAAGGATGCTTAACTCGTCTAGAAGTAACCACTAAAGCAGCTGTTTATACTGATGTGGATGATCCAAACTATGAGTACAAGTAAGATTATATTAATTTATTTACTAATTAATATATTTTGTTTGAGACTGAGAAGATTTCAAAATTTCAATAAGTGAATAAATAATGTCCTATTTTATGAATTATTTAAAACAATTCATTTTTATAGGTACTAATTTATTACCTATTTCATACAATAATAGTAAATAATAATTAATATTTAGTTAAAACAAATATTAATTAAATTCAGGAACAGTGAACTAAAACGAAAACGAAGTTTTTCATCGACTAAGTCAAATAAAAAGACTGAAAATATACTAGAAAGGTAAGTTTGAATTTATTATAAATTAATTATTAAAATGATGATATTAATATATATTTTCATTTTAGTGGAGAATATGATTTAGATTCTGATCATGTTGTAAAGAAAAGATATTCACATGGAAATGGGGATTTTAAGAAATGTAATTATAAATATGGAAATACAAAAGGATTTGTGGAAAAAAGAACTAATAGTGATAATACATCTAAGTGTAGAATATTGCCTGATATTTGTAATTTTGAAGAAAAGACTAATGATCAGTTTTTAGATGAATTATGTATAAATCTTCATGAACACAACAAGATTTTAATGTGTAAGTTATGTTGAAGGTTAAATATATTTAGATGTAATGTTCTTAGATTTATTATTATTTTAGTTAAGTTAATTAATCTGATTTAACTCTCAAATACAAAGTTTTTTATTAATAATTGCATCAATCATTATATAAATGGCCCTAAATCAATTTTAAAATTCATATTTACCCTACTTTGTGGTAATTATATTTTGATGATTGCTAAATTTGTATTTTTATCATAAACACCTAATTCCAAATTAAGATCTCAAGGAGCTCATAAGCAAGTATCAGCCTTGAGTCCGATCAAAAAAAAATATATACCATCTCATTTTTATTTGAACATTATAATATTAGCCACTGTTAAAAAATAATATATCTATTGATCATACATTTTATGTACATTTAATCAATGATATTACCTACCATAGTTAGTAATCCGTGTTAGTATAATATTCTCATTATATTCAAAATAAAATATTAAAATGTTATATTTTTTTTATGAAAATAGTATGCATAATTTGAACATGATAATTTTATTTTAATAATTACATAAAATATCTACTTTTAAAAGATATACAAATGTTTTATAATAATACTCACATCACATTATCATTATATATTTTCAATAAAATAATATAGTATAAATGTTAAAATTTGTTTTAAAAGACCATATTAATATTACCTAAATACATGTATTTTTATTTTTATTAACTAATGAGTTTTTAGAAATTATTCTTTAATTTAAAAATTGGTAAAAATAATAAATGTATTTTTAGTGTTATATTTACCCTTTTAAAATATTTATACATTTTATGAAAACTCCTGTAGTTTTGGAAATTTTAAAATAAATTTTTACATTTATTTTGTAATCTGCTTAAATAGGAAATAGTTAAAATCATGCTGTGGTAATGTCGATTATGACATGGCAGGTAATAAAGTACTAATACATACTATTCCCACTCACATATTATACACTGTCGAGTACTGTAATTTGTTTTTCCTTAGGTTTTTCTTAAAATGTAATATGTTTATATTATAAACATTGAAAATACTGAACCTTGAAGTCATGGACACAGGCTTCCTCCCCTTTAATCTAAGTGCTTAAATTTAAGGTTAACCGTATATATTTTAGTTATAACTATAATATATTATTTTGCTTAAATACAATTTAATCATACTTTAGGCTAAAATATTTAAAGATAAAAAATATATTTATGATTATATTATTATGGTGTTTTGTAATCTATACTATAATGGTTTAACAATGTTTTTCAATTTTTTTTTTTTTATAGTATCTGTGGTATCCAAAATTGATAGGACAATCATTCTTGATAAATATAAGAAAACCTGTTTAATAGAAGCTAATGGTGGCCAAATGATAAAGGTTAGACAATCATTAAATTAATAAATAGTACTATATTTGAATTATTTGTTAAGAATTTTAGTTTAGTTATTATAGTTTTGTTTTAGAATGGTAATCGTAGACGAACATCTGGAGGAATATTTTTTAATTTAATTAAAGAAGATAAATCAATTCCAAATTCAGCAAAAAAAGATCTATTTAGTTGTCCTCAAAATGAAGCAATAAAAAAGAAAAAAAAGCGTGAGAAAATGAAACGTAAAAAAGAAAAATTAAAAAAATTGATTATTCAGGATAATAAAAAAGGTATTTACTTTAAAATAATTAACAAATAATTTTTACTAAAATATAATATTATGTTTGATAATAATACCCAACTGTATTCTTTCTCTTTAGTATCAATTATATACTTAAAATGTGGTTGCAGGGGCTCTAGAAGTGGTTCTGGCATCATAATAGTAGAGATATTTTGTAAAAAAAAAAAAAGTTATTCAAAAGAAAAGTAGAATTTGTGATTTTCTCCTCACCAAAGTCTTTTATCAGAAATCTATTTTCTACAAAAATTTAAGAACTACTACTTTAAATATTTTTTTTTCGTATTGATAAACTTAATAAAAAGTAAACCAGTTTCTAATTCTTTTATTTTTTTAAGTGAATATTTTCTGATTAATAAATATTAATGTATTTTTAATTTATCATTATTATATGTAGATAAAATTCAAAATGATACACTTCCTTTTTCTGTAAATGATTTTAATGTAACTACTAATTTCATGAAACATTTTCATGTCTCGTTATTTTCGCTATTTAAACAATATCAAATATCTACAACTTGGAACCATTTTACTTTTATTGATTATAGAATAGACTGCCATAAACTGGTATAGGAATTTGTTTAATTAACCATTAATAATAACAATATATTGTTCATTCATACAACATTACCTATCGGTGACCATTATAAATATAATTTTAGTCACAGAAAATCTTTTTACCATTGACTATTTATCTATTCTATAATCAATGTTATTACACATAAAATTAAAAAAAGTGCACAAGGTTGGTGATCCTTAATCTTAACATGATTGTTTTATAGTCAATATAATTTTGTAATCAATGTTTTTCACATAATATATATTTATTTATTTTTATCCCATTTTTTTATTTTATATATATTATATCTAGTCATAGGGTTATTATCGGGTTTCATAAGTTCATGCATTAAAAAAAATCTTCAAAACTTAATGTTATACTTATATTTTAAATTTTATACTCAAATAAATAAATAAATAAATACACTCTTTTGTTCAGATGTTTGTTTAAAATAATTATTTTTAATATTATATAACATTCATTGTTGTATAAAATGAAAATGAAAATGGTACACAAAATAATAAATATGTATTATGTTATTTAATATGTAAAAATCATTAATTACAAAGTTATTGAAAAACAATCATATTAAGTTTAAGGGCTATCTCTAATGCATACGGTTACATGTGTAGTGAGATGGTTAGGGTCTAAGATGACATTTCATGAAGTTAGTTATATTAAAACCATTTACAGAAAAAAGAAAAAAATAATTTTGAATGTTACCTAGATATAATGATTTGACTAACTAAAAAATACATTAATATTTATTAAACAGAAAACTTTAATAAAAAAAAAAAAAAACTAGTATTCAACTGATTTACATTAAAATAGTTTTTCCCTAACCAAAACAAGATAAAAGTATAGTAGTATATAATTTATATGAAGGAGAAATAATATAGTTAGCCAGTTAGGTATTATTATCACAAATAAAAACCAGTAAGAATAACTAAAAAATAAAAAATGTAAATTTTAATGTTCAATAAATTTAAAAAAAAACCATTACTATGCCAAATATGATGAAAAACTTAAAATATTTCTGTTTATAATAATTTTTGTTAGCTTACATTAATATAACTGAGACAGATTAATATGCAACTATATGAACTTATAAGTCCTAGCTATAATGTATAAAAAAAATAAACATACTTCTTTTTATTAAAACTTCATTATACTTTTCAGCGGATATTTTAAAAACATTGAATGAAGAACTGGAAACATTATCATCAAATTGTACAATAGAAAATGAAGAGTTATCTGATTAATTAGTTATAGATGTGATTCCTTTAATGAAAAACAACTTTATTTTCTTATAGGCCTAATATGTGAACTATTAATATCTTTTAAACATTAATTTGAAAAAAAAAATGTATTTAGATTTAATTGTTTACATTTGTTTAATAAATAATATATTATTCATTAATTTTCATAGAGTTTTTAAAATATAAGTTTCTGTGGATTTCAGCATGTCATGAACATGAAGAATAATATATTGTAATCAAATTTAATTTTTGACTTAAAAGATATCAAGTAAAATGTCTATGTAAATCTTATAGCCAAGAAAAACATTTTAACTATGATATCTTTGATTAAAAAGCCAGCTTAATTTTTATTAGAATTTAAATTTGTTATCGAGAAATTAAAATATTGTTCTGAATAATAAATTTTTATTAATTTCTCACTTTTATACATGAATACTTTAAATTAAATTAAAAAATTAATCTCATCACTTAAAAATATTAATTATATTGTTAAAAAAATAATCAATGTTATTGTCCAGTGTTTTTAGTTTTTTAATTGCTTAGAATTAGCACCTATAGTATTTTCATAATTTTTCATAATAATTTATAAATAATTAAAAGTATTTCTTTAATTAAGTAAAGATGGTTAAAAAATCAGTTTTGCTAAACATTTTTTAAAATAAAATATAAACAATTTACCTATCAGAAAGCTTAAAAAAAATATTATATTTTTGTATGAAACTTCTTGAAAAATTCTGTTATATAAGTAAAAAACCAATACAGTTTATTTTAATTATTATTACTATTGAATTATAATAGACAACAACTACCATTTATTAAATGCTGTTTCAACTTTCAAATTAAAGTCATGAAACAATATATTAAATCATTAATCTCTTATAACTCTTATGATGAAAATCACAAATTACAAATGTTTTTTAAATATATATATGGTTAAATTTAAATAATCCATTGTTAGCATAATTTCAATGTTTTAAACATTTTAAGAGTAGCAAAAATAATATATTTATATGTATCATGAATAAAAAAACTAGTATAGTTAACAATTGGATTTATTAAATAACTAGGTAATTTATGAAATTTTTTTTAATGATTGTTTAAGTAATGTGGATCAACTGATTTCAGGCAATATTCGTTGAAAAATATCATAAAGACTAGCATAAAATATTTTATTTACAAACTAATCTAAAAAAAGTTTAATAAAAAGACTTGTATAATAATTTTCTTATTAAAATAATCTTATTTTTTATTTATAATATGATTTAATTTTGTTTATTTGTTGGAAGTATACTTTATTTGGATATTAATCATACACGTTAATCATTTTAAAAGATATAAATACATTTAATTGTACAATATATAAAAAATTTATTATGAAAATAGCAAATAATTTTTTTATTATTATTATTTATCACAAAATATAAATTAAACTACAAAAACTTAAATTTTATGAGAATACAATAAAATTGTTATTACGACTCAAAAATAATAAATTATTCACCTTTATAAACAACAATATTTTTATCAGTTTCAAATAATTTAACTTTATATAATAGATTAGGATTATGCATGACATTTTTTAAGCTTTGCCATATAAAAATTGCTACATTCTCAGTTGTACTAACACGATCTTTAAAGTAAGGTACATCCATGTCTAGATTTTTATGATCCAATGGCTCCATTACAGCAATGTCAATATACTTTTTTAAGTCAGCAACATTCATGACCATGCCAGTATTTTCATCCATTAAACCCTTAACTGTAACTTCAACTATAAAAAATATAACCAATATAACCATGAGTAATAAATAATAATTTCATAATTAATATTAGTTAATAATAAAATATTAAATACAATAATGGTAAGTATACACATCAACTGTATGTCTAGGTAACTAATTACTAATGTAGGTACTTAAACAAAATATATTTCAATGTTTAAAAATTGTTATTGTAATAGGTAATAATTTTTAAAATACAAGGAATAATTTATATAGAAAAATAACACTTTAAATACCTTTATAATTATGTCCATGGCCATTTTTATTGTTACATTTACCAAAAATGTTTACATTTTCTTCATTGCTTAAATTGTTGCTGCAATATAAATAATAATTACCTATTTTATTGTTAAATAATAATGCATATTGGCAATTAGATGCATCCTACAAAACATACATTTTTCTACACTATTTGTAAATATTCTTATTAGAGGCACCTACTCATTTATAAATAAGTAGGAGGTACCTTATTTTATAATATTTATGAGTCTATCATGATTAAAAAATATAAATGATCAATCATTTAAATCAATATAAAACATAAAAATATAAAATAGAGGTATCCACTATTAATATTGTTAATTTAAATATAACAATAAGTAATTATTAGTGCAATGGAGATTAAAATTGAGTTAATCTGTATAAAATATCAATTCATAGAAAGGGAAAAAGATACATTCTCAAATAATTTTAATTACATAAGATTCATTATAAATTATTATTATAGAAGGAATTATGGAAATGATTTTAACACCCACCTGTGGAGCCGATGACAAGAGCTAAATTTCTCTACGCGAGTTATACTGGCCAAAGGCATTGTTTTAGAATATCTGTTGATTAGGTACCTACTGGCTACTGCAGAGTGCAGATAATTACTGTGTAGATGCTAAGTAGTAAGTACTAACTAGTAACTACCGAATAGCCACTGAGAATACCGGCTAGCAAGTAGCGACTGCTAACTAGTAACTACTGACCACTTTACAGTTATCGCCACGCCTGCCCTGACAAAAAATAGGACCTGACGAAATCGGAAATTTAATATTTATCAAGAATCGATAGAAAGTAATTCAACGAAACAACACTGCCATCTAGTTGATTGTTTGATGTCACAATGTACTTCAATGAGGGGATTTTACACCCTAACACTCTTGACCAATAATATTTACTACTAACTAGTTAAAATGTTTCATAAAAGTCTTGCACAGAACTATTTTAAAGGTAAATGAAATAACCTAAGTGATATGAAAAAAAATAAAATTGAAGTAAAAAGTAAAATCCTCATCAGCAGCCAGCGGATAGCTATAATACCTAGAGATATTTAAATAAATTAAAATCGACATTTTAGTTGATTATCCGTGATATAGTACTATATCGTACTTATCGTAGTCTTATATAATAATTATTTTAGTAAATTATAGCTACGGGTGTGGTACAATGGTAATTGGTAGGTACTAGGTATAAGGTACATAAGTATCTACATCTTTAATGTTCGTAAAGTTGGCACGACACGCTTATAATTTTTTAGGTTTAACAATTCATGTCCTTAACGACATAATAATATTACATATTATAAATACATTAATAATTATAAATTTTCGAAGATCTTGCGTTAAAGGGCATAAAAATACACACATAATATTAATGTTTATAAATACTAAAATTCACGTGCAATAATCGACGTATTATGTATAATTGCTACATAGATTATATTATTCATATCGCCCAAACGTATTGCGCTTATGGTTTTGTGTCCAAAAGTGTTTCGGAAGTTGCGTATGAAAAAATGCACAAACTTGTTATACCTAAAATGAGGTATGTTATTTGGTGGTAATAAACTTAAAATAATAGGTTACCTATTAAAATTTTTTTATAAAATAGTTTTTAAGATTTTATTACGATCAAAAAAAATTTTGTACTTAATATCTATAGCATATTTTACTGTATAGATTTAATAATTCATAATATTTTAATCGTTATTCGTTTAAATGATGAAATACAATTATAGATTAATAGTAGCATTGATTTTATAATATTATATATATTATAAAATCAATGATAGTAGGTAGATAATTAAAAGTTTTATGATAATTTACTAAAGGTAATGTATTAATGCAATATGTTTATTATTGTTTGTGTAAATTAGGTAATATTAAGTTCTATCATTGATATCATGACTTCTATTTCTCCATTGATTGTATTATAGTATAACTTATAAGCACTCTCCAGGTTCACAATAGTTAATAATATGTTAATGGTTATATTTTTTATAAGAATTATAGTTTATTTTCGATTCATGTACTACTGTAGTACTTTTTATCATAGATATTAATTCAACACATTTTTGAAACACTAGGATAACTTATATAATCTGCTGAAAACAGGATATTTCTTAACCATAAACTATTAGGCATTAATTTTCATCGAATATGACTAATATTCAAAACTCCCATATTCAGTTTTACTAAACTTCACACTTTTTACTCAAAAAAAAACACATTAGACTAGCACTGGAGCTTTTTCCGCACTTTGCCAAAATCCGATTGCCTCCCTATCGTAGAGACTTATCCTACATGCAGACAAACTGAAAATGCATTTAAATTTACTGTACTGACATTGTATCCAATTCACTGCAGATATATTTCAAAAACTGACATTGATTTTCACCGAAGAAAACTGATTTTTAGACACTTTAAATTTGCTTTCGACTTAAGACTTTTGACTGACAAAAAACACAAGACAAGTGCCAGGGAATCGTATCTGAGTTAAATAAGGCCGATGAGGGCTATCAAGGTTAGGTTAGGCAACTTTTCATTGTTACGTATATTATTATTTTATCTAAACAAAAATGTTTTCAAAATATTTAAACAAATTAAAAATTTAACTTATAGTCATAAATGCTAAATTTTTATTTATTTTATTTTACAAAGATCTACAAAAAAATTGTTATTGTTTATACTACCTACAATACGATATGAGTACATTTTACATTATTTAATAGTAGTTTGTGTGCCTATATTGATTTAAGCATAGGTAATAGTTATTAAATTAATAATAATTAATATCAATGAATACCTATAATAATTATTATTTCATAATGTGAGATATTTTTCGAAAAATTAATTCAACGTACCGTATTTTTAACAAAAACATAAATTGCTAAATAGTAAGGATAATAGTAATAATACACTTAATTAAACAATATCCTTCGAAAATTATCCGCTCAGAATTGTTTTTTGTACATTCAATGTATTGACCACTCTGGTTTATTTTTAGGTAAGTCTGGAAAAATTCTCAATCGATGTAGGAATTTTCGGAATAATACCTAATTACCACGTAAGTACTTAGTTATAACTTGTAAGTAGTATCACATTGATTTTAAATATGTATATTTAACAGTGGTGGATTTAAGGGAGAGGGTCAGAGTGGCCTCGGCTCCCTTCCCATTGACCTAAGTTAAGTTTTATTAATTCAATAAAAACAAGTATTCTAACTGTGAATAAGGAAATAACTCCTCAAAATTATTACTGAATTTTGGAGTTTGACTATGCTCTTCCCCTAAAACTAAATCATGGACCTGTCATTGATATTTAATGCTCTGAGATGATTGTTGACGACATTTATATATGTATTATAAGTTATTCTAAATACTATTTATTGCAAACAAGAAAATATTGAAATTTCTTTGGGGTTTTTTGTATTAAAGAAAAATCGAATATCTGTCTGTATTATTTTTAAATTACGTAATAGGTAACAGTCGATGAATAGTAATCTATACGCTGGTCTTGTTCTAGAATATCACGTTTATATGGTTTCGAGAAAAATGTTATGTATGTAATATGTGTAGGACATTGCCTTTAAACGGCTTTAACCGTATATTATATTCATAGATGGTACCTTACATGTGCATTATAATATTTTTTTTTTAAATATTTTTTTTTTTTTATAGTAATTTTTAAGTTATTTCTAATTGAATAATTACTTTTTAAATTTAAATAATGTATATGTACCTATAGTACCTACCTACTAAGTAATTAAACTCTAGTTCAATATATTAATATATTGCTATGTAATATAATACGTACATATTTGCAATATACTATATTACAACCATGTATAAGTATTGAAGCATACAACATAAGGTATTAATTATGTAATTTTTCATGGTAGGTTTATATATGTGATATATATATATGTGAGTTATATAGGTCGCAGAGTGATGAGTGCACCTATTTATTATGTAATAATAATTAATAACAATAGCATTAGGAATATAATAAAATATTATATAGAAATCTATCGATCTTTTTTTTTATGTCGGAGGTATTTAAATTATTTAAATTAGTATGCACTTATATATTTTATATAGGTACTTTAATTATTTTTATATTTTCTATCATGTTGATTAATTTATTTCGCTTTTTAAAATGCAATTGTCTCCGGCTAACATGCATATTTTTCTCACTTTTTTAAATTTTTTTATTCAAGTTAATTTGTTTATTATACTTTTACTAGTTATACTTAAATTACCACTTAATAATAATTAATTAATTAATTTAATAGTTATTTTGTTTAAAAATCAGAATAGACTGTTGTTTCTGACTTCTCTTACAACATAATTTTATATGTAGGTATAATTACATTTTTGTTATTTTTAAAATGCTAAATGATCCTAAATAGTATTGAAACAGTGACTACTTATTGTTTTACTTAAATATTTACTCAACACATTATTATAATACAATTTTTATGTGATGTATAGATAAAGAATTTTTTAAGTCATACAATTTATATTGATTCATACTGATTTCATAATTGAAAATAACGGATAAAATTTCAAAAAAATATGAATAATTTTTATTAATTTTATATCACATGGTATAGTAGCAACTTAAGCAACCATATCGTAATCTTTTAATCACGTGTGTCTCTTTCCTGAATGTTTTTAGAAGCAAAATTAGTTTCTTTATTCTATGCTTATATAGATGCTTACTTCTACATATATTATAGATTATCTATAACATATTGAGTCTTACAATATCAAATGAACTTATGAACATCATATCGATATCGATATTATTATTTGTATAATCGTAATAAACAAACTAATTTTATAACATTATAATATTTCATACTAAATGAATACAATATAAATACAAAATATTTGAATTCCCAATAATTTCTTCCCAATAATTTCTTAGTACCTACTACCTACTTACCACCAACATATTTTAATTTGCTATTCCACTGTAATATACTATAATTATCTACAAAAAAAAAAAATAATAAAACCGTCTAATGGTCGTAAATACCTATGCAATATTATTTGAATAAAGAATTATTTAATAGTACCATTACGTCAATAAATCAAAGTTTATGCATCATGTCATATACTAACACTGACACTCAGGACTCGGCTATTTAAAATCAAAATTATTAAATAAATAAACCACAATGTACAATGCAATTAAAAAAAAAATTAATATATTATACATAATAATATTTATTCAAGTACAGTACGCATCACACTGTACCATTAAATAAAACAACAACGAAAACAAAATAAATGATAAATAAATAATTTAAATAGTAGGAATAGCAATAATAGTAACAACAATTCGTATTAGGACTTTTTTATATAAACATAATATGTCTAAGATACAATCGTCCGTGACTATTCACAATCAAAACTGAATTGTATTTGTTTTGGACTAGACTTATAATTTATTTTTTACAATTATGCCCATTTTCAGGTATTTACACTTATTTTTCTATATGTACATTATTGTTTACACGTCATTGGCGAAAAAAAAAATGTTTGACACGCGTGCGTTATGTGTACTGTAACATAATATACGTTTATTTAAATCGATTTCGGTCCAGGTAAAACGGGAAAAAAATGGTGTTTTTTTTTAAACGTTCGTGCCGCTATACATAATGTATAATATAATAGACGATTTTGACTTTGACGAAGAACACGCGCGTTCACACTCCGCAAATTTCGTTAAACGTGGTACGTCACGTACATACGTCGACCGTTTCCTGGTCGAAAACGAGACGACAAGGTTTCGCCGTTATATAATAATAACAGGATACCGGATACGAGACGTACGCGCGCCCGGGTGTATCGCAGCACGGCCCGGGCAGAACGCGGCGTACGACGTCGGACCGAAACGCTAACGTAATGTGCCAATCGTCATCCAACAGTTGTAGATCGTCGCGTGTACGCATATTGTACACAATAATGTCGCATTACGTATACGGTGACCTGACCGGCATCACCTGCATCCGCATTCGTCCACGGTCATTTCCGGGTAGTTCTTCACCACCAACTTGCCGTCGTCGTCCACGTAGAGCAGCGTCTGCGAGCTGAGCTTGGTCGGCACGCAGCACGCCCGGGGTACCGCCGCCGGGTTGTACGAGTTCATCAGCGTCTGCATGACCGCGTGGTTGGACGCGTTGATGTGATTGGCCAGCGGGAACGCGCACTCCCCGTGGCAGTAGAACGCGTCGTAACCCGGCGGCGCCTGAATCCAATCGCTGAACCCGACGTCCTTGAAGTCCACGTACATCGAGTGCCGCTGGCAGATCTTCTTCTTTTTCGCTCTCTTCGGCGGCCCGCCGCCCGGCTCGTCGGCCGACCGTTTGCTCCGCCGCATAATCCGTTCCAACGTGCCCTTCTCGTCGCCTGAACACGACCATTACACATAATATTATTATCGCATCGTTGTTATTATAATAATCATTATTATCAGTTCAATACAGACGATTGTAATGCGCCTCCCCCCTCCCCCCCATTCAACGACATTGTTGCATGACGTGTGTTTCGCGCGACGTTTTACGACTATACATCGATACGCATCGTTGTGTTCGAAGTTCGAAGCGTAGTCGGAACGAGCGTTAGCGTTATTATTAAATCACTTGGAAATGTTACTCTATAATTGCGGGAGAGGGATTACTAGACGTAATCGTCATTTATCATTTAAACATTAAAAGATTACGATGGTTTATTTGTATTTTGTTTTATATGACAGAATGGCTGAGGCTCAAAACGGATTTATTACGGGGACGATGATTGGTGGTGCAAAGTGGTGTGAAAAAAGGATAATGTTAACGTGACTGAAAACTAGAGGTCTCAAAGTTGAGTTGATTTAGAAGTTTGGGATGGCAGTATAGAGTCATCAATGAGTTTTCGTATGAATGCCCGGTTGACCGATACAAGTCTCTCAGTTAGGCTTGATTATAGTGTCCCATAGTACCGTAAAATTGTTATAAACGAAATAGTCCAGTAGAAAGGCAACCAGCAAAAATAGAATATAATCGTTGATAAAATGAACCTCGGTAATTAATATGCATCGATGACTTTCGTGACCATAACCTATATACTATATTATGATTATATATGTGTAACGCCGAAAAATTTAGTAATAGAAATTATTAAAATGTACTCTTGAGCAATGAATGACTTTCGCGCTTAAGAAAACTCCTCGCATCTCACACGTTTAACCTATTTTTTATTTACATATATCTACGCAACAAACATGAATATCGAGTTAACCACATAGTTAGAATAGCATTGTTCTTACTTGTCCCGTCATCGGTGTAGACCAATAGCAGTGTCTTTTCAGGTGATACGAAATCGAACACGCTGAGCAAGTGTGTATGACTGCCAGACTCCGTGACGCATTGTACTAGCATGCCATGGTTTTCTTTGAAATTGTTTTTCGACAGTCTCTCTATAGCAGGTGTTACGTCAAAACTGATGACTTCTGATTTTGAGACTTTTGACATATTAATTGATTTCGAATCGATAATTCTATATGAATACAAACAATTTATGAATAATAATTATTAAAAAATAAATTTGTCCACATTTTATTTATATTATTTATACAATAATTATTGTCCGTTTATAATTACCTAAGAATAGGTTTTGATAGGCCCTTCGCGCCAGGTTGGACTATATCATGTATGAGCACATGAATAAATTCTTCATTTCGTAGTTCTGTATCGTATATCATTGTAAAACGGACTTCAGCAGCTTTAACCTGATCTTGCTCAGGTATAGAATCTATATCGAACTGTAGCCTATATTTTTTAGATTTAGCGTTATTTGGAGCTGATCCTATAACAATATAATCATGATAATTATTCTACTAAAATATATTAGCTCGAAATAGTGTAGTATTCAATATAAGTTAGTATCAACCTTTTTTATTTTAATAACATTTTTAAAGATACAAAACATAAATTATTATAATTTGGAATATAGGCACAATCATTTTAATAAATAAATAATATGTACGTATATATATAAACCTCTTAATTACCTTTGTTGGGATAAGTCCTAGCAGTATTAGCAGACATTGTGTGCAAACCAGGAAGAGGAAAATGAGTGGTCATTGCATTGTTTTCTTCTAACATTGATTTATACAGTTCCATTGTGGCAGGCGGTATCTCCATATTTTTTTCTACCACAGGTCTTCGGGTTAAACCTTTGTAATAAAACAATTCAATACAATGATTTCATTCGAGCATGCTTGAATATTAATTATTGCAATAATAAATTGATTGTAAAATTAGTACCTAATTTTGTAATTAAATTTTTTTCTACTTCTTCGTACCCGGTGATTGCTGCCAATCCGGTGTGTAGCATAGCCAACAGCATTAGTAAAATAACCATTGTATCTAAATTAAAAACAATAAATTGATAAGTATATAATTATTAATGGAGCACAAAATATGCATAAAATATATTATTTAAAATTTAAATATAACCATTAACCACTGATTTTAAATAATATATAAATTTTATTTATATAAAAATACTACACTTATATTAATTATTACACTTTGACTAATCTTACATTAAATAATAAGATATTTGATAAATCGTGTGGAATGGTTTCACTGTTATTTATTAATTTTGCGTACCATGAATAACTATCTACTGGGATATGAGAAATCTAATAAGATGGTATAGAAGCTAATCACCATTATACATATATTTAATGCGGTTTTTAATTTTTCAATAATATTTTTTTATAGTCTTTAATAGGGAGTTGGAATTTGTTTTTAGTTAATTTTAAAAAGACGCTGTTTTCCACAAAAACGTGGATCCGCGTTATTTATAATCATGTTCGAGTGTTCGGCACAATTCTATCACATATTTAAATTGTTTATTAGATAATTAGTTATCATTGTCATTGGTAGTTAATTTTTAAATGTTATTCTACATAATAAAACGTAATGGTAGAATACATTTCAATTTAGAATCAAGTGATTTTTTTTATTGTCTTTTGTTAGTTTACCTTGTAAGCTTAACTTTTAAGTTATTAGGTACACTACTAAGATGTTCTGTATTTGTATAAACGTATTACTCACTTACAATTTACAAGTGTATTAACATTTTAATTAGTTTCCGATTATTATTTCTATTTTTTGTTAATGACTAAGGTGATTTTAATGCGAGAAATCTCTCTTTCATTGGGACTTGGTTAATTTAAAATACACATATTACAAAAAAATAATTTAAGGGAAATATTGAACTATTTTTAAAATAATTTAAAAATTATACCTAATAAAATGTAAATACGCTCAATACGGCTTTAGCTATATTATAATAAAAATATTATTTTTTTGCGTATTTTTATGTATCATGTAGTCATGTATCATTTGTTCCTCCCTCCCGCTTAAAGTATTATTAATCCACTATTAGCTATAATTGATATATTTATACGTTATTTGATTTAATATTGTGTTATTCAATAAATGTTAAAGTTGTGTTTGGCAGTGTAGACTATAGACATTAAAAGGTTTATAACAATATACATTTATTTTTTACTTATCAAAACTACATTTTGTTGTTCGATTATCTACGGGGATGTGGTATTATGAAGTTATGCTTATAAAGCATTTGAATTTTAGTATCAATCATTAATTTAAATTCTTTAGTTTATCTTGGTATTTGACAACCGTTACAATTAAAAAAAAAAAAAACAGTGATTCGAAAACCATATTATATTGAAAAAATATAATCCAATGTACTAAAATAGTAAGCGATTATGTGTAAAAAAATGGAATTTTTTAAAACCGTCACGGCAGCCACTGAATGCCAATAGATGAACCAAATAGGTTATTTATATATGATATTATTGTAGGTATTCAATTGTTAACACACATTATGTATTGATATCTTCTGATAATGCGTACCTATTACTCCCCATTCGTTCGCCATTAATTATTTTTTTTCATTATTAAAACAACGTTGACCAAATGGGCGCGTGTCAACGGGGAAAAAACATTTTCTCAAATTCAGTGAATATCGCACAAGCAAAAAACGAATTCGCACAATTTTTCAAAAAGTCGCCCACAATACTACAGCGGTACTTACTGTCTACATTCTATTCAATCAGTAATGTACTAATGAACAATGACACAATATTATGTGTATGTGTGTCGACGTACAACCACACAATAATAATATGATCGCAGACGTATACGTATAGTACAAACCGTGTACCTGTCATGTCGTACCGTATATACGTAGTGTAGTTAAGACGGGATGTAAACAACTGTGGCTTACCTGTTGCGTGTGCCCCGGCGGACGATGTAGTCGGGCCCGATGACGTCATTTCATAAAAAACCATGTGCGTGTGGAAGCGAACGGAAACGAAGTCGGCGATACACGGATCTACAACATAATATTATTATTATACCTATCGCGGAGTCACGTGACACGCACTTCGCCGGTCAGCTATGATGTCGTCCCGGTCAAACAATATATTAATGCACCGCGTGATCTATTAGCGCATAGGAGATCGGCGTTCGCAAATAACAGTGAAAACTCGTACAGCGACGTTGCTGCCGCACAAAAGTATGATGCGCACGACCGAACCGAACTGAAGATGATAGTGAAATGATGACCGCAGGGTCTCTTCGGAGGGTATTGCCGGCGGTCCATTGTGCCCGTACATAATATCATAATATAAACATAATAAAACGCGTGTGTGTACCTAAGCCGTCACACGTGTGACCGTCCGACCCGACCGGCCCACCGTCGCCGCCGCCGCCACTGGAAATCGGCAGACAAACGGGCGTCCGCTCGAACCGGACGTGATGAGCGGGGTGGGGGGATTGGTTTGCGGGGTTTGCGAGTGCGTGTGCGCTTGGCAGTTTTGTAAGGGTGGGGGTGGGAGAGAAGATAGATTATGGGGCGTGGTTTACTTATTTCAGGAAACCAGATTTCTCGACGACCGCGATATAAAACCATTTAGGTACGAGGGGTATCCAAAAGTATTTTGCGGTACACAACGTCAATATACCTACATGGTCACACGTACACGCACATACACACACACACACAAACACACACACAAATAAATATACGCGCGACGTGCCTGGTGCCTACGACAAGAGTCTTAGATTTGGTCCTCGAATTCGAAAAAAACATCACTACGGTGTGTTGCTGCCGTTTTTTGACGATCGTTTTTACGTGTCCGTGCACGTGCACACGTTTATTGTGGGCATATAACCGTGTGTCGCGTATATTCCTCACGGATTCGCGGTCGCCATGTTTACGCCTGAAAGTTGTGCGTGAACGCACGGTGCTCGGAGTTGAAAAAAGAAAAGCGACATAAAGAGGCGCGAAAATGTGACCGACGCCAATATAGTTTATACCTAAGCCCGCGCACTCCCACGACGGCTCGATGACTAAAGTGTCACTCTCTGCATCGAATTAAATCTTTATCGTTTTCGACAATGTCAGCAACACCTCTCACGTTAGGGGACAGTTATTCGTCGTAAACGTCGAAATTACACTAATTGTGTGACGACTGTAACGAACGTATGGAGAATATTACAATATTGACAGAAGCATCGATGACAACCAAACATCGTACCAACGTACGGTTAATATGCTTGAATTTATTTTATGCGTGTTATTAAGACTTCAGAGTTGTAATTCAAACGCAGTGTCTACCATCGTTTTGAAATTCGATTTTAAATTTATTATTTTATTTTAGCCGTCTTTATTTTTCACTAAATTCTTATTTGGCTGGGATCATGAGTTACTCAAAGCAGTTACTTAAAAAATATTATTATATGATGGTACTGATGTACTACGGTAAACTGCTAATGTAATATAATATATTACCAAGACGGAATACTAGGTATATAATTATTGGAATATTTTATGAAAAACGTTATTTTGCTGTAATACACCGTTTAGTTGTTTAGACACGAGACTGCTCGACGCCGATATCCAGCTGCTTTTAAATAAGTAAAAGCAAATGTGTATAAGCCAGCGGGCGGTCAGGGTGGTCTTTTTTATTATGAAATACTACGAATGGTGGCAAAGGTCAATTTGTTAAGCCACTGATAAATGTTGGTGCCATACAGTCTGTAACTATAGGATGTAGTTGGCGGCAAACATTTGACAACTGTGAATCTGTAACCCTGACTCTAATATTATATATATATATATATAAATATGTGTATACATAGCGTATATATATGTATTACCTATATAAGAATAAGAAAACAGAATACATTATGATTTATAATATTATTTATGTAGTACTTATATATTGTTATAACTGTTAGTGAAACGTTCAGGTGACTCATAGTATATTTGGAAACTTTTGTTTAACGCACGGTTTGTGATTTCGAAATCATAAAAATAATGTTAAAGAATATGAAAAAAAAATTACTATAACTATAAGTATATCAACTACAATTTCAAAAATATTAAAAAATGTGCGGTACAGACGTACAGTACCTACTTATTTTTATGCTGTTATTACAAAAATAATATCTTAATATTATTTTCTTAAAAACTCGTCTTTATAAATTTATATTACATTTATTATAATTATTTTAAATCACTATAGTTTATAGTTATAAGTACTACCGAATTTAAGCTTAAAGTTACCTACGACTTAGATAAGATGAGTTAATTAATAAGCGTTAAATACAACAATATTTAAAAAAATATTAAAACCAATTTATTATTTAATACATGTATATAAAGTTTTATACTTATACATATTATTTCGTTGTGTTATGATATTACGCCTGAAAATACCTTATATACTCGATAACTAGTCTTCATAAAGCACAACGGTTGACGAATATTTGTCGAATACTCAATAGTCAATAGTCAATAATTGTGTGGTGCTGGCTTTAGAAATACGTCTATATTCCATAGCCAATCGTGAAATCTAGAGTTTTTGTATGCTTCAATGTCGTTTATTTATTTATAACGTATACCTATGTTTTTTCTGTGTAAATCCTAAAATATAATCTATTAGTACTCTATGGGCATTCTTATCATCGGAAGGATGGACTATTTTATACGTTTAACTCAAATTTACTCAAAATTGAATTTTATTGAAGTCCATTCATGAATTCTTTTAAATTAATTAAACGTGTCAATGAGACAAGTAATGTGATTAGGTGTTCGGTTCGGATCTCCTTTAAAGGAATTAAAATGTTTATTTTACTCCGTTTCGTTTGATGCGTATAAGTCGATTCATAGAAATGTTTTCCAAATCGTGCCGAATACAATGCTTCTATACCGGGCATTGGTACCACACTGTCTGGCAATACTAGCTGTTCTTTCTAATCGTACATGCATTTATATACGTATAAGTATTCTTTTGATATTGTTGTAAGTATATAGATTTCCGGTAGAAAATAAAAATATCGTCTTTATATTTTCATGGTCATTTATTTTGCTAAACAAACGACCCGGAAACCGCAATATATTACAAACGACGAACAGTGTTGTTGGATAAATAGGCATATTAATATGTTTATCCATTATAATATATTTACTAGCAATATTCTGTTCTAAAAAAATTATTAAAAATAAGTTTATTTATTCATTTTATCAGGTATATAGATATGAATTTAAAATTTGTAGATATTTATTGATAAAATATTTAATATGTATAATGTATTTAGTGTGATTATAATAGATGAGGAGGTACAAAAAAGCAAGAACTCACAACGACGCAGCTTTGAGAATTCTTCGAGATTAAAAAAAAAATAAAAAATGAACGTTGGAAATATATAACCACATCAATCGAGAGAGTCAGCTTATATTATATATTATTATAGTTGCAGATTATTATGTATATTATTATATACCTACTTATATGGTTGAATTCAAAAATAGACACATACACACAAATAAATATTTATATGTACACGTTATTACCATAAATCAATAGGACCGCTTAGTCGTACACAATAAACTCGACAACGGCTGTCTGTCTGAATGTCTTTAAAGATATTCGTTCAAAACTTGAAATGTTTTCTTGGTTGTGGTATATAATAAACGACAAATTCGATGGTGCGAAAGAAAACCCTCTTTTGCCATTTATACTGTATAGGTATTCGTTGAAAATCTTGAATTTGAAATAAATCAACACATTATATTATGATATCAAATAAATAGAACATCCTTTCTATATATTATAATATGTGTATTATTCCAATGTCACTGTTTTGTATTGTCAATAGTTGATACATTTTTTTTTTTATATTGATAGCAACTATGCAGTACGGTAAAATCAAATTATTTTCAAAAAGGTTTGGGGGTCTATGCTTTTTTTGACGTACTGAACGTCTCAAAATTTTTTTTTTCATACTTCATAGTTCCAAAAGTCATTATTCAAGTTATCGTTATGTAAACTACGAGTATATAGCAAAAAAGTTATTACATATTTGATAATATTGTTGTTCGTATTATGTTCTAGATTTAATAAATATACGCAACAAGTCGTTTTATGATGACCCGAGGGATGGTTGGGGGGATTCAACCAAATGGACTTCCCCGTTGCGACACTAGCTAGCAACTCTAATGGAACATTAATTTTGTAATACTGTTACGATTGTTACTTCTGAAATTATAAATTTTAATAACGTGAAAATTCTATGAAACTTACTGAATAGAAAAAATTGTATCCGATGTATTAATAAATGAAAAACATGTTATTAGCTAACTCATTTATAATGGCTTTTAGTTAAAATGTATGTACATTTGTTTGTTCTTTCAATCATTTATAACAGTCGCTCTGTATGAAATTTGAAATAAATAATTTCAAACCGGTATAAATAATTGAGACACTGTTATTTGTAAAAGTGTAATATCAGTTTTAATCTTATATAACCGCTATTCCCAAAGTTATTTTACGAATAAAACTTTATTTTAAATAAAATGTATTTATTTCAATAGCATAACATATTCTTAACATTACATACTGTTATTAAATACATTTACATTTAATAACCAAGTTATTATTATTATTATTATTTGCATAATATTCAAACCCTCGAAAGTTATATAACTTAATATATAATCGTAATGTATGTTAACAAATATATACAAATTGTTTATTATTAATATTTTATTTTATGAATAATATTTATAATTTAACAGAAACATTTCTTCTATTTAATTTTAAATTTTTCATCAGAAAACGAAAAATACGACGTCGTAATAATTAAACAATACAATAGTTACCTAAATAAATGAATTATAAAAAAAAAATGTATAAAAATAAGTATCAATAGAATTATTTTAATTGTATTGATTAAAAGTTGAATAATATTATAAAAATTTCGTTAAATATAACATATAATATAATATTATGATAAAATTATTATAGTAACACTGTTATTTATCACATTAATATTATTAATAAGAACGTATATCTTTTATAATTACCATAAACATAAATTATGAATTATGATAGGTGTTTGAGTAAATATTATTCAACACTATGATTGCTAAATGACTATCTAAACTATAGGTTGAATTAGATATATTATGATTAATTATTTAAAATTGTAGGCTCAGAATCTAAAGGTGATATTTTCCAAAATATCGGATTGTTCAAGAGAGCAACATTAAACTCCGGGATAGAATTTATTTTTGCTGAAAATATTGGAATTGAAAACGTTTGATTTTACAGGAAATAATAATTATACCTTTTATAGTACATAGTTCACTTTCAATCAATTACAATCACAATTTAAAATGTACATCGTAATTTATTTAAAA